CAGAAGCCACTTGGACAGTCCAATTCCATCCACTGGTGGCAGAGCTCTCTTGCGAAGGCCTTCTAATACTCCACTAAACTTTCGTTTCGAGTGGCATTAACTTTAAAGCGTCCAGATGACTACGCAGTTAGTTCGAGGTTATAGCTCAAGTGCTGGAGCAGAGGTCCTCCTGGGAAAAAAATATTTGGGCACGTTAGTTGGCACTCGGACGGTCTGTACCTCAATGTCTGCCGGCCACAATATTGTTCACCTTATTGCCTTTTTATAACCCTTAATAATAGCCTAGATCCGGTAGGGGAAAACTTTGTGGGTAAAAAAGTAGGTAGGCGTACATAAAATGCGGTGTGATTAAAGAAAAAAAAAATGCATATCAAAGCCTGCGTAAGGAGAGAACATCATATTCGTCATTTTGGTTTCAAATAACAAATATGTTTTTTTTTGTCTAGTCATAGGACAAACAACTTTCGAGGAAAACAGCTTTTTGGTATCCAAGGCAAATTTTCCCCCGATTTTGATCTCGTACTTCCGCATTGAGCCCTACCGCTCTGTTTAAATTGAAAAAGCAAGATATAAGCCACTTGCCTAAGCAGACGCAGACCGATGGTTCTTCTGACAAGTCAAACGATTTGAATATACTAGCTAACCTTATGCATCCCTATTGTTGGTCTCTCTTTTGATTAACTCTACAGAAGTCGCCTATAAGGATGGGAAATGCAAGGGGTGGCAGGGAAGGGAGCACATTACTGTGCTGGAGTCACATCGACCCTCCTCAGAGCCTGGGTGTTGCATATGCTAACAACAAACACATTACTATGCTACAGTATTCGAAGGTTTTGGCGAATACTTGGATTCAGGCAGAATTGACAGAAATGGATTTTCGACAAAGGAGACGTCATTCGTACAATTGAATGAATAAACGAAGTGGTTTTACTTGATTTTTGATGTTATTTTAAGTCTTCACACCTTGTCGTGCCACTTGGTTCAATCTCCACCTCCCTACTGTCTCCTCCTTCCCCCACCTACCACCATCAACCATCTTTGAAAAGTTCCACTAAAGAAGCGTCTGAAGTGTGTTTGGTGTTAGAATTGGCACTAGAAATTATTTATTTGCCATTGTTTTTTGTGCGAAATGGGGTTTCTACCGAGCCACTTTGGTACCCCTACTTCTTTCTTTAAATTTTATGACAGTCTCGACCAATTACTCAAGAGACAAAACCATACTGTAACAGACCGAGACATCCGTTTCGTAGTAAAAGGTATTGAGCATGGATAAGGACACATAATTCTGGAAGAGGAGAGGACGTAAGGCTTTGGCTTAGTCCAAAATCATCGCGCTTAGCCAAAATGAAGATGAACACCAAAGTGATCTCCACACACATGGGTGGCTGAATAAACAAAGTATTGCATTTACATTAAAAGACCCTCACTTTAATTTTACTGCCAGACTGAGAAAGTACATAACTGGTTGAGCTGCTGACAACCCACAACCGATTGGCTGAGAATGGCATCTGGTCTAGGGGCCTATTCAAATGCCGCAGTAGTAACAACTCGCAAATAAACCATTTTAGAGCAACAAAGGTTGTGTACTTTTCTTGTATACTAGTCCTCTTGTGCTGCCTAACGCAGGTGAGCCCAAGTAGTTTCATGGGTGACTCTAAAACGAATGCACACTTTAAGTATGGTTTTTGTTGTGTGTACACCTTGCGGTTTCGGAGACGAGCACTTGGTTGGTCTTTGGTCTTTGCTCCTTGAACTAGCCCTTGATCCATGCAAGCAGTCCAACTGTCTACCATTTGCTGAAATCGTACATTATCCCCGCACCATATGCCCTCCTTTATCTTCAAGGCTGTTCTGTGCAGCTACCGTTGCCTCCAATTAAGGAGTCTCGTTGGTTGCTGAAGCGTCAACATTGGTTCATCTTTTAAAAATAGTGCTTTACAAACACCATAGGAGCTACTGGAAATGTGCGCGCACTAATGTGTTGGATTTGAAGTTAAAAAACTTTCCTTACATTCCAACCTTCCCGATTTTTGACTTCAAGCCTATCTCAAAGTTACGTCTTATCAAGCAAGATAACATACAAATTAGCTAACGCCAAAATTACATTAAAAATTTGCATACGAAATGCATTTGTACACATTGGAGTTGACAATTCTTTGTTTGTTCGACTGCCTTTGTAAATGGCTCTCACTTTTGGCGCCCACTTTGTTTCTGCAGCGTGGGCTTGCCCTTGGGTATGGTAATTGCTCCACTATTATATTTCCGTCTGATTACAAGCTTCCATCCCAATCGTATGCCATTCTCTACCAAGTTAAAAGTCGCATAACACTACAGTGATTGTGGCGCAAAACAGTTCTTGACCTGCTTACTAAGTAACTTGGAGTAAAGGCAAGGAAGTGATTGAGAGAGAAATGCGTGATGCTTGGCAGTCCATCTGGTGAAAGTACTGTTATGCTACTAGGCATCCAGAGCATAGAGTACCTGTATGTTTGTAACAATATAATGTTATGGCATAAAATATAGCGTCTCGAGAATTCACATCGGGTTTAAGAAGACAAAATGTTGGGCAGAATGCATAAATTCAATAAAGACGAAAGGATATAGAACCTTGATTTGTTTCGAAGGCCTGTCCGCACGTACAAGGACAAGACGAATACAGAAGAGACAGCCATATACACAAAGTATTGCACTAGTCCTCTCAACTCTCACCCTTCTCCACCTCCCTCACTAACCATCACTACATCAGCGGTACTTCAAGATTGCACCCACGAGCCAGCCGCAACAGCCATCAGCTACCGTGAGACTGAAGCGCAACAATTGGTCTTCTCATCGCCTTCATCTAGCAACAGTAATCAGGGCCGCATACACCTGTTGACCATCACTTGCTTCCAGGACTAGATGTTGAAACATTGGTCTGCAGCATGTTTCGACAGGGAGGACGGGATGAGGCACAATCCCGTAAGTAAGGAGGAGGTTTTCGATTCAAAACTTCTTCTGAGGATTCATAGTTGCGTTGCTTCAGTTTCTGATACTTTGTCTGTGGAACACGGGGACAAGGTGGAGCCCCACTCAGACATCACTCTAAACCCTGTTGTTATTGTTTTATATTGTTATAACTGCGAATTGGTAAGTCTTAGTTCCTCAAATAACAGCCTAAACAAATTTACATCCTAAAAAGCGTGATTTTTTGCTTATTTAGTGCTTCTTAACCATATTTCTGGAAATTCGAACAAAACTCTGAAGTGGTAGCATCAACATATGGGTATGGATAATGATCCCCTCAATCAACCTACAAATTATACTGTTAACAGTGTAATTTGTTCATTAAGTGTCAATCTTTTTTGACTAAAATTTTAAGGTCCCTCAGTAGCGTTATGAATTGATAGTGCATTTTAATTTATGTAATCGCATTTAATACTTTTTCTAAAATTCTTTATTTAAATGACAGACTTTCCTGATATCCTACATTGATTATACGTAGTTTCTATACTTTTAAATAATTTTTTGGCACTCCATATAGGGATTTATTTTTTGCATTTTGTTGTTTGAGTTCGTATAAACCGGTAAGTGCGCGCTGCGCAGTCTGGTCATCAGCATGGCTGGTACGGGGCGTATGTCGCTGAAGCGTAAGGTAATTTGCTTATTTTTTTATTTCTCTTTGGTTCGCCACTGCGGGGACTCGTATAGGTTTTTCTTTCCGGCCCTAGTTTGTGTCTGCCGGTGTATTTAAAGCAGAATTGGATGAATTTCTTCGTCGTGAACTCGCTGAGGATGGATATAGCGGTGTCAAGGTTCGTTCAAACGAACGTCGCACGGAGATCATAATCTCGGCAACCAAGACCCAGGCTGTTCTAGGCGAGCAATCTCGTAGGATCAGGGAACTCACTTCTCTCATCCAGCAACGGACTCGGGCCACAAAGACTATCGAATTGTTTGTTGAGAAGATGATGGCTCGCAGTTTGAGCGCAACAACGCAAGCCGAATCTCTTCGGTATAAGCTTACAGGAGGTCTTCCTGTGAGAAAGTGGGTTGATCTATTTCTTTGCTTACTGTTTTACGTAGGGCGTGCTACAGCGTCTTGAGGTTTATTATGGAATCGGGTGCGCGTGGCGCTGAAGTCGTTGTTTCCGGAAAAATAAAAGGGCAGCGAGCGAAGTCTATGAAATTTTCTGACGGATTGATGATTCACTCTGGGGATCCAGTGAACTACTACATTGATCGGGCCGTTCGCCATGTTCGCCTCCCTCAGGGCATCCTAGGAATCCGAGTCAAGATTATGCTGAACCACGACAGCACCGGAAACACCGGTCCCAGGAAACCTCTCCCGGACTTCGTTTCCATACTTACCGCGAAGGACGAGCCCGTGATAACTCAGCCCTACTCCGAGAATAAGCCGCAGTAATCTAATAAAGAGACGCTTGCATTGGATCTTTATTTACTGAACACTGGTCTATTTACTGTTTAATGTCTACTTTGGTTGCGTCTCGTTGGTTGTCACCGTACTTGGGACATATCAGTAGTTGGTTTCGAAGCTGCGCTTGTGGGCGGCTGCGCGGACCCGTAAAGCTTTCATTATGCTCTTAACTTCTGGCACTGGGGTCGGTTGCGGGTGTTTTACCTCGAAGCGCTCCGACTTTCGGCCTGTAGCGTGGCATCGTTCTGGGTGTTCCCCCTTTCCTCCCTAAGGAGAGGTTGGATCAGCCTGGCTTCAGCCGGTTGTCGGGGCGATTACGGGTACACTTCTACATTTTTGGGGACTAGCCGTGGTCACTGTGTCTCGGTGCGTTACCAAGGTTGCTACGGTGCTGTTTTAGCGCCGGTCATGCTTGTTTTCGCACAGCATTAAGGTGCTCTGGGACGTGGCTTGTCATCAGTCTGTGACTCTTGTGCCCACGCCTGGATGAGTAAGCTAGATGGGGAGTTGGTCAGCTACATCGCGCAGTCTCTTACTAGCTTGGCTTGTCCGCTTAGCCAATTGCCCTCCCGCGTCTTGAATCCTCTCTCCGGTGCAGTGTCATGCGATTGGTCCGTTCGGAGGCTACTGACTCAGCGGACTCAGACGTTGCGATGGTTGTTGGTTGGCGCAATGTGCGTGCCACGCGCATTTCCGGAAAAGTGACATCCTGTTATATCTCACCTGACAGTCCTCGTGAATGCATTCATCTGCTCTTCAATGAACCTACCATAGAGAAATGAGCTGACAAAGATGGCAAAGTCATATGAATGCATTTCATTGCTTAAAGGTCATCTTTTGACACAGCTGCAGTCAGTCTCTCGTCCATTCCCAGAGTTCACAACCTTCAGAAGAGAGAAGAAATAAGGCTAATCAAAATTTAATTACCAACCAGAAATCCACTCTCGTGAAGTCACTCGCTCCCTGAAGAATTTTCATTCACCGGCATTGTCATTCTAAACCTTAAGACCCGAATCGAGGTGACCTAGTGTGCCCTTCCCAGATTTGGGATCTATTTAAAGAGGAGCTAGAAGGATGTGGCACACTATGTTTGGAATTGGTTTACACCATCACCGCGACATGAACATGTGATGTGTGAAGACTGTCACGCAAGGGGCGGCGTGTGCCTGCCTTCTAAACTAACAATGTCATTGGTTCATTTATCATTATCGCAGTTAGCAAGATTTTGATTCGTGCAAAACTTTAATGGGCCCATAGCATTACCACCAGTGGTCCGTGTAGCCCTCTTTTTTGTTGTGCCGAAGCGGTAAAGCTACAGAACGCAATACCACCACCCCTTATCCATGGCATTCATTCCACGCTTAGTTTTGTGTCATGAAATGGGAATTGTGTTTATGTCAAATAAATAAGGGTCCATTTCGCTTCACTTGTTTTTTTTGGTCATTGTTTGGTAATATCCATTCCAAGCCATTTGATTGGTTATAATTGAAGACCTGTGCCCTAGTAAATTCATCGAAAAGGCAAGACGGATTAACTAAATTGGCGCTCAAGTGTGATTGCCAAGGTGATGAGTTCATGAATAGAGGAGTCAGCTCACCACACTGCTTGCATCGATCGCGTGAAATCTCCAGCGTTCATCGGTTTATTGATCCACCCTGAAGGTGCAATCAGATGACCTCATTTTTGTCCAATCAAAATCCACAGCGAAATATCCATCGCCCAAATCTAAATGTGCGTCTTTAAAACCTGCCGCAAGTCATTATTTTTGTAAGAAAAAGTGTTCTTACAAGGCAGGTATGTCAAGATTTTGCATTGAAGGCGTAGGCTGTTGACAAATTAATCGCTTTTCGACCTAAGGAACGCATATTGTGTTCTTACTATTTCTTTTCTTGCAGTAGCTCATCTAAATTATTTCCCACCCCACTTTGTAGTCTTTTTGTATCGTGAGAAAACTTACGCTTAATAAATTATACACGTTGATGAATGTGTGAAGCGTGTTTGTGGCGTATAACAACATGAGTTTCGTGACCCTATTTAAGTTAGTATTTCTGACTTTCTGTGCCGGACGTGCATAAAAAACCTAACGTAATTCCACGCATTAATAAAAGGTAAAATTAACTCTCCATCGCCTTTGGGTAATCAAGGCGCCTGTGACAGGAAGAGGAAGGGGCTTAGCATTATTTGCTTGTTTTTTTTAAGAATTTTGCCTTGAAGGCTACCGAGGTTATACCATTCTAGCCGTAGCCTTACTGAAGACACAGAAAGGTAGTTATACCGTAGCAACGTGGTCGAGATGTGACTTATCTGATAACCTTCAGGCTGTGTTTTGCTTTCCCCCTCTACCTTTGAGTGTTGATACAATTCCCACGTCCCTCCCTGGAGGTGTGCGGGATGAGTCAAAACTACTAACAATAACAACATCAGATCAACTTATCAAACTTACGACTGTTTGAATAACAATAGATGGCATTTAAAAACCTCGCATAATAAACATCTTTCGTCGGTGCTTTCCTTCATTTTACCGATCGTCTACCTTTCATGCAATTTATTAAGCTAATCGCATAGTTTCTTGTTAAATCTCACCTCAAATAATATCACCAAACTTCAAATTAAGTGATTTAAATCATTATTTTCACCTTTTGATGCCTCGTTTCTGTGAAAAAGCCATTGCGGGAATTTTAAATGCGCTAAATAAGGATTGCTTTGCGAGAGAATTAAAAGTGGCTTGGCATCCAAAAAGCATAGTTTTAGTGCGTTTGTAATAAGCGGTTTGAATATCGTACCATTCAAGTATCGGCGAACACGTCGACAGTAAAACGACTCTTTGGGCAGTCAAGGATTCGTCGTTTTGAGATGACACTTAATTGATAAAGTTGCGAATTCCAACACATGGTTAATGGCTTAGTAAAAATTTCTACTAGTTCTTCATCAGAACTGTAACAAGGTTAAGGGATACAATTAAATTTAAATTAAGCAGGAACACTTGCACCAATTTAGGTAATTGGGGCCGAAGTAATATCCGTATGGATTACCTAGGCGTAAATGGAAGGTCATATCGAAAGTCGGTAGTACAAAGTGCTAAAGCTGACGAATTTATGGTGCCTCGAACATTCCTTTCGGTCAGCGTTCCACCTCAACAGTTACGAGGCCTGTTGTACCCCTGTAGATTTTAAAGCAAAATGTGTCAGAAAGGGTCCCCGTAGAGTAAGTTATCAAAACTGGGCATGATATGTATTGTGGGCACTTTTTGGGTGACAGTTGTCAAAACACCGACATTGGTAGAAGGAAAATTATGCTCTCCAGTGATGATGCAAATACTGTTGCTGGGGGACCAATAGGAAGCCTCGCTTTGAGGTCGTTTGCCCCACCATGGGCAATGTAAAAATGTGAGGTAGGGAGTTGCCAAAACCAAAGATATTTATCTCCTACGACATTTTTGATTGGCAAGAAGTCGTTTCACCATCCTGATATCTAATGTTGATCCTTGAAGCCGTTTTGTCTGTACGGAAGGTCGCTCATCGCTTCAAATTTTTTACATCAATTGGAAGTTGAGAGGATTGTTGCTTCATCTGAGTAAAAGAGATGGTTTCTCATGGGCACCATTTCACCATTTTATTTTTTTAAATAGTGAATTCGTAGGTGGCACTTTATACAACCATTATATGTCACTATCGTTTAAACGTGCGTTCAAAAGCTTATTGAAATCAGGGAAAATGTCCACTCGTTACTTAGTTAAGCATTGACTACGGGAAAGATAGCGCTTGCTTTTGTTTTGAATATTCACTCCTAATTACATTGTTGAGACAATCCAGAATAAACACGTAGGGAGGATGGCCTGGTTGTGTCTCCCTTCCTCCCCTTTCTCCCTCCCCTCGCCTCCCTTATTTGAGGCCAGGACAATCGGAGACATCAAATGGTCACATAAAGGAATCCATCGCCCGTTGAGACAACAAAAAAATCGTCCACATTATTGGTAGGACAATCTTTGAACATCTGATCCTCCCTTTTGGTCATGGTAATGGAAATCTTAACGCCATGGATATAGGATTGTTGATCGCAGCAAACATGGGACGCTCTTTTTTGACTCTCGCCCTCCTCCTCTCCCTCCTTAAACTCCTTTAAACCACCAATCCTTAAATAAAATCAGGATTTAAGGAACCCTCATTACGTTACTTTAATTAGTCGTTTGCGTTCTCGCAACCGGCTTGTTGCATCGTTGTGGGAAGAAGTTCTTTCAGACAATTCACTGCCTCAGTCCCACCATGATCACCATCCAGTAACGACAATTCAGCAAATTTTGCCGCAAATCAAGCGATGAAAGCTCTTTAAACGACATAGTCAATTTTACGACTTCCCTCCTCACAAAAGCACAAGTAAAACAGTGCTCTTTAAAAGGGGGTAAATTTCAGAATAGATCGTATTAACAATGCTTCACCTACGGTTTCCACAGGTCCTTCAAAATGCACTAGTACTATGATTAGTGGATGTTACCGTCAAGACTACTGCCTAGCAAACCAGATACATTTTTCTCTTCTTTCTCGACCCTTTGTACTCCTCTCAGTTGCGGCCTGACCTGTCGAAACAGGCTGGTCACACTTTGTCCTACCCGTTTACTCATGCTTGATTAAATGGGTTCGGCGTGTTTGTGTTGCACTATTCTTTTGAAAACAACTTGATGAGTGGTCAAAAGTTAGGTAGTTTCCTAAAAAGGTATTCCAGCTGCTACTATTGCCTGTCGAGGCGAGTTCTGACACCAACAGACGCAATAACAGCGCCAATTCATACACTGGCTAGTCAAAACTAATCAACTGGATTAGTCTTGTAACTCCATTGGCATCGGGCGATTTCAATGCCAACGACTCTTCAGCTACATGGACTTTGGGGAATTGGAGGTATGAAAAGAAAAAGGGGTTGTAAATGATGCATGATAGGATGATGTGAGTCCAAAATTCATGTCGCCTTCCCACAAAACGAAAGGTCAAACAGATTGCTTAAAAACCTGGGACGCTAAATGTCACTTTGTGAATGCAGTATTTGGTATTTGAAAGGTGGCCCAACAGGTAACCACTTCAATGTGTTCAATCACGTCAAAAGGTCACTTCATCGAGAAGGCAAGCCTCTGACGTAGTCTTTTTCGGTGCTAAAATCTCATCATTGCTAATACATATTGTTGAGGCAATGCATCCTCAGTATAGTTGGTTTGCCACACTTGACTTTGTCAGGTGACATTTTTATTTGAAAGGGAAGGTGAGGAGGGAAGTGAAAACCGACCTCAAAGTTGAGTTCCATTTTGACAAGAAAGGATTTAACTTTTGCTGCTGGAGTCTGCTGTGAGGTTGAGGACTTGAAGCATCTCCTGCCTAGTCCCACTATTAGGCAGGCAAACATAAAAACGTGACTGTCATTCTTCTGTGCTCTTGAATTAAAGTGCACAGCACAAAAAAAACAAAACATTGTCTTCTCTGTTTTTAACAATCCCTTTCATCTCGCATTTGCTATCTACGCGAGGTGGAAATAGTGCCAATGCTTTTTCTTCGCCTCCCTGCTTGTTGATGATGGTGGTGTTCATTGCCGCGAGAAGTGACGCACAAGTTAGACTGGTGAGAGGCATTAATGTGAAAAGACATTTCTTTCACCAGTGCATTCAACTAACCTGGCATCTAAAGTTCGTGTGGATGTCAGTCCTTTATCAAAAACTATTTCAAAGGGGAGTCGGGGAACAGCTGCCTCAATGGGAGTTCACCAAAACATTTTCACAATAAGCATTTCTAAGTCAGCTTTTGAGGTTACCCATACGAACGCAACTGCTGCTTGCTCTGAGGGTTGCTTTGGAAAAATTAGTTTACCCTATTTATTACCTAAGGGTATCATGAAGTTTGGGTGACCTTCAATCCCTTACCTCTATCAGGTTTGCCACCTGCTGGAGGTAACACGGTTAAAGAACTCAGCCAGCCAAATGGGGCCACTTTTCTATGGAACTTGGAAGGAATGCTTCTAATTGCTCTCGGAGGTGCCGAAGGGATGGATTAGCTCGATCACACCACACGCGAGAACAATGAATGTCTAGACTTATCACTGGTGCCATCAAACACGGTTGGTCAGTATTGCGGTACAAATAAAGTTGGCTGGGCTCTAAAACAACAAAACATGAGGTGTGCAACTTTTTTTCCGTCTACTTTTACTTGATGTGAGGTGCCTTTTTTCTTTTTTAACAACAAACTTTGTTGAAATGATTTTATTTACGCCCTCTCGAGTTTGGCTTTGAAGTTATATCAGCAAATGTGCCAATTTTGTGTCATAATTATTCACAGGTTTTGTAAACATTCTTGAATTATATTTCAAACAAAGGTAATTTTAAATGTTACCCCTTTCCTCCTCCTCCTCCTCCTCCTCCTCCTCCTATCTTCCAGTCACCGAAACGGTGAATGGACAATTAAAGGTGTTGGAGACAAGCCACCCCTTCCATTTGGCCCGGCGATGTGGTTCACTTCATACACAGTGGCTGTCACAGTAGGTATGGTTGTGAAAAGGCGGCTTCTTTGGATTTGTTGTTGCAGCTTTGACTATTCAATTCGAGTAGGCCCTTTGCCTAAATGTTTGTACTCACCTTACGTTTACTCACAAACACACACTTGCTGTCACTTCGAAACCATAAAATTCCTGCACTTGTTGATATCCCGACACCAGTCGAGTCCTTACTTCAAACAGCATGATGTCAAAATCCCGCTTCTTTGTAAACTGGCAATCCAAATTCACATACGGCGAACACACACACACACACACAC